GGGGGGTGGGGGTGAGGTGGGGTGGGTCCCTGTAACTACACCTGTGCCTTCTCTCTTGCTGTGGATTGAGAGGCACTGAGTTGAATAAAAATCGCATTCCAATGTATGCACGTTATGAACCCGGCCTGGGAAAGCCCGTCATGGAAATGCCGAAGGTTTCTACCAGACGGCTGCAGTGCGCAGGCCTCCCAGGGTGGGCGCTGGGAGGACAAGGGGTGTCACCTCAAGGTGCCTGCCCCGGGGCGCCCATCACTGCCCAAGAGCTGTGTCACCGCTCCCCACCAGCCGAAGCTCTGGGTTCTGGTGACCTTGCGGTGGTAAGAGTGTGCTCTGGCCCCTCACCCTAGATCGGCCGCCTGGTCATTGGGCAGAACGGAATCCTGTCCACGCCGGCTGTGTCTTGCATCATCAGGAAAATCAAAGCCATTGGCGGGATCATCCTGACGGCCAGCCACAACCCAGGCGGACCCAACGGAGACTTCGGAATCAAGTTCAACATCTCTAATGGAGGTGGGGCTGGGTCGCTCGCTCTGGGCCAGATGAACCTGTGCCTGGGATGGAGGGGCTTCTCACCGTGGGGGCGGGTGGTTCCTGGCATCTGTCCGTGACTGTGAGGTGCTTCTCATGCCTGGCATGAGCCCCGTCCACACTGCCGCCCCCAAAGGGGCGCTTTCTCCTGGGAAGATGCCGACTGCTGCCTGCTGCTGCAGGCCCCTGGCCGGAGGAGGGTTTGCCAGGCTCAGGTTGCCCACTTTCCCACGTGGTTCTGTCCACAGGTCCTGCTCCCGAGGCAGTCACAGACAAGATCTTTCAGGTCAGCAAGACCATCGAGGAGTATGCGATTTGCCCCGACCTGAAGGTTGACCTGAGCGTGCTGGGCAGGCAGCAGTTTGACCTGGAGAACAAGTTCAAGCCCTTCACAGGCATGTTCATGCCTCCTCCTCCTCCTCCTCTGCGTCCCCTCCAGCCACCTTCCTCCCAGGCCCTGTTAATGTTGGCTTTGCAGGCCTGACTGCATCCACGTCTGCAGCTCTGTGGGGCCTAGCAACTGGGGGCCCTAGTGGCCGAGGCCTGCGCCCTCCCTGCCAGTGATGAGCTGGTGGCCTGGGGGCTTGTCTCCAACGCCCTTCCCACACTGTGGGCACCTAGAGTCCTGGCTCTGTCCCGCAGGATGGCCCGGCAGGGCCCAGGGCTGTGTGGGCATTGAGGCGGAGATGCAGGGCTGACACACAGGTGCTGCTGGTCCCGCGCCGGGCTGGCCTTTGTCCTGTGCACCTCAGTGGCAGCTGGTCAGCCACTCCAGCCACGGAAGCGCTCTGCAAGATGGATGTGGTCAGGGTGTAGCTATTCGTTGCCAGGGGCTGGAATGGCTGACGGGACAGGACTGCATTTATTCCACACGGGGAGCAAGTCCCAGGGTGGTGGCAAGCTGTGCCTTGGCTTTGCCCAGTGTGTACCAAGTCCCCTGCATGGAAGCATCACATTGTGCCCACTGAGAGGCTGATGGGCGTCCTGGCAGAGACAAGATGTGTGAAGACCTCCTAGAGTCCAGGAAACACCAGTGCAGAGTTCTTCAGACTCTCCCTGTCTTAGAAATAGGGGAAGCCCTGAAAATGCAGTAAAGAACAAGAATAGCAGGAATACTAAATCCTTAGGGTTATTTTAGTCCACGAGCATATAGGAAGTGACTCATTAGAGGCATTTGTAAAAAGCTGGACATGGTGGCCTGTGCCTGAGGTCCTGGGACTTGAGAGGCTGAGGCAGAAAGACTCTGTGGGCTCAGGAGTTCCAGGCCCACCTATCCAATAGAGTGAGATCCTGTGTTATCTTTTAAAAACAAGCTTTTTATTTATTTTATTTTTATTTACTTATTTTTTTGGCAGAACCGGGAATTGAACTCAGGCCCTTGCACTTGCCAGGCAAGCACTATATTCTACTGAGCTATCTCCCCAGCCAAAACCAAGCTTTTTAAAATATGCTTTTGTGTGTGTGTGTGTGTGTGTGTGCGCGCGTGTGTGTGTGTTTGGAGATAGGGTTTCTCTGTGCATCTCTGGCTATCTTTAAACTCATTGAGTAGCCCAGGTTATCCTCAATCTCACAGCGATCCTCCTGCCTCAGCCTCCTGAGTGCTGGGACTACAGGTGTGCGTCACCACTCCGGGCAGGGTGGCAGAGTCTATGCGCCCTCCTAGAAAGATCCCATATACAGGCAGGGCAGACAGGTTCCCTAGCCTTTCGGACCTTGGGATTCCTCTGTAAAATGGGACTGAGAGCATTTGCCTCTGAGGAAGGGGTTGGTATTGAGATGCCCTTTGACAGTGCCGTCCTTTGGACACAGCCTCCTCCCAGGAGCGCAGTGCCGCTGCGTGTGCTGCACCCTCACCTCCTAACTTGTTCTTGCAGTGGAAATCGTGGACTCAGTGGAAGCCTACGCCACTATGCTGAGGAACATCTTCGATTTCAATGCACTGAAAGAGCTGCTCTCCGGCCCAAACCGGCTGAAGATCCGCATCGACGCCATGCACGGAGGTACGGCCGGCCACACTCACAGGCGGGGCGCTGCACCTGCTGCGGTCAGGGTCCCTTCACAGCTCTGACTCTGATGACTGAATGTCTTGTGGCAGCTGCTTAGAGCAGAGACCCAGAGATAAGGCGTGGTCGAGGCCTGCACAGTGGAGGTGCCCTCCCAGCCAGCCAGCAGGAGGCGCTGTGTGTCTGAGCCGCAGGCAGCTGTCACTCAGCCTCCTCCTGTTGCTCTGAAACCCCCAAGATCTTCCTGGGTATTTTTGAGGGCATCCCCAAAGGTCCTGAGCCCTGCTCCCCTCCCACTCACCCACCCCTAAATGCTCCTTAAAGACGGTGAGAGCCATCCCAGGATGAAGTCCAGGGGCAACAGGAGCAAAGTCCCTCTGTCCTCTGTGGACTCTGTGACAGAAAGTAGGAGCGGCAGCCATGACTGAGCCAGGATCTGGGCTTCCTTCCTCGCAGAGCTGCAGAGCCCCTGAGCACACGCACACCCATACATTGCCTAGTAATCTAGGAGTTTGGTCTGTCAAGGGCCGTCCCCCACATGTACGTTTGCCTGAGTGGCTTTCTAACCACGTCTGAACCCTTGTAGTGACTCCCTGACAGCGATCTGTATTGTGCCACCTGCCCTGGTGCTGAAGCCCCCGTCCCGGAGCCCGTCCCCATTCTTTGTCCAGCCTGCAAAGCACCCTGCAGACTCCTGAGCCCCTCACATGCACACCCTGAGGATGGTTCCCTGAAAGACTGTGGTGTCGAGGACAAGGGCCAGCACACTGGGAGCAGGGGGACCCTTGGGGTCCTCGGTGGGGTATGGAGGGGCAAGTTTGACCAGGGCATCGAGAAAGATTTCCTTGGAGGAGGAGTAGCTACCTCGCTTAGGTGAGGGAAAGGCCAGCGGTGGTGGGAGTCGGCCACAGTGTTTCTCATGGAGGCTGTGGTAGAAGTGGAAGGAACAGCCTGACCCGGCTTGGGTGAGGCCTGAGAGGGATCTCAGGCAGGAGAGCTTCCTTTGTGGGCTTTCTGGGCCCCTCAGAGGCTGGCCTGCCCATGTCCTAATAGCCCTGGCCTCTGTCACCTCTGGTGTGATGTCAGGAGCCGCAGAGATGTGGCCTAGAGGAGGCCTGTTCTGCCCATTCCTTCCTCTGTGGTGGCGTTTCCAGCTTAGTACCGTCCTTGATGGCCTTCTGAGCATCAGAGACCAGTGTGCTTGGTGACCCATTTCCCTGCTGTCTGCTGGCATTGCTGGTCTTGCGCGTACATTGAAGGTGACAGCAGGGAGATTCCGGGAGCTTTGAGCCTGGACAGCACGTGCCAGGTCCTCTTGCCTACACACCTGGTGACTGCACCGCCTCATCAGCGCTGCTGGGCTGTCCCCATGGGCACCTCAGCTGCAGCTGGGAGTGACTCGGTCCCTTCCCAGAGTGTGTAGCAGGGCCTGTGGAGCTGGGATTTGAACTCAGGCTCCAGGCTCTTAGGTGTGCTCCTGCCCACCTGTCCTCCATGTGCTCAGCTGTCTGTTCCCGCCCCTGCATCTCTGTCCCCCGAGTCTCACGTCCCCCTCTCTGCGCTCTTGTGCTGTGCCTAGTTGTGGGGCCCTACGTGAAGAAGATCCTCTGCGAGGAGCTGGGTGCCCCGGCCAACTCGGCGGTGAATTGTGTCCCCCTGGAGGACTTCGGTGGCCACCACCCCGACCCCAACCTCACCTACGCGGCCGACCTGGTGGAAACCATGAAGTCGGGAGAGCACGATTTTGGGGCTGCCTTTGACGGAGATGGGGTGGGTATGGGCGCTCCAGACTGTGGGTGGGGAAGGGCTGCTCCCGCCCAGCCCTGTATCGGGCACCATGGCCATGGGGTCCTATTAGGTTATTGGGGGCCAGAAGGGTGGGGTTGTTAGGTCCCAGTCCCAGTAGAGTGAGGGAGCTCTGCGGGCTGCTGAGCCAGGACACCTGAGTCCAGGCAGCTGGTTATTTAGTCTCTGAGAAGGTCGTGGTGGTGCACACCTGTAACCCCAGCACTTGGGATGCTGAGGCAGGAGGGTCTGGACGAGAGCAAGGCCAGCTAGACTGCATCGTGAGGACCTGTCTCAACAAAACAAAACAAAAATGTTACCTATATTACATGTATTTCCGACATTTACGTTAGCTGAGTGATAAAACTATAATTTTATAACCCATATAAAGACTGTTGAAAGAACCTACATCTCACTCTTCCTCTGCAGGTAGAGTCTGTGTGCCTAGGTGGCTTTATTACCCAGCGGACCACAGCAAAGCAGGGAAGGGCTGTGCTTGGGCCTGGTTTGCGGTCCTCCAGGTCTCTAGCAAGAGCTAGTCCAGCACGTGTCCATTTTAAGGTGGAAGATCGATTTCTGTTGTTCTCTGCTGGTGTAGAAGTCAGCACATCCCGGAAATGCCCCTGCTGTGCAGGGTGTGGGGGGCTGGGGGCCGTGGCAGGTCCTGCTCGCCGGCCACCTGCCTAGAGGGGTACAGCCTCTGTCCGGCTCCTGCCACACGGAGAGGTGGCAGCGTATTTTGAGTGGGGCACCCAGGGAAGCGACAGGGACACAGGAGCCCATCCTCCACGTCTGCTGTTGTTCCTCGAGACCCGGTGAGACAGCCCCTGTGTGCCCCCTCTCTCACGTTCCTGTCCTCCGGGACAGCTCGAGGACATCAGCTGGCGCTGCAGGGACCGAGGGTGTGTGCCCTGCCTGTGAGCTGTGGCCCGTGCCCCCGCACGTCTCCCCTAGGCAGGGCAGCCAGGCCGAGAGCCCAGAGGAGTGAGCACAGGAGCTGGGCTGCAGCCCCGCAGCTGCGGTGCTGACCACCCGGCTCCCTCTGGCCTCCCTCCCCAGGACCGCAACATGATCCTGGGCAAGCATGGCTTCTTCGTGAACCCCTCGGACTCTGTGGCTGTCATCGCCGCCAACATCTTCAGCATTCCGTACTTCCAGCAGACCGGCGTCCGCGGCTTCGCACGCAGCATGCCCACGAGCGGCGCCCTAGACAGGTGTGCGTCCCAGCCCTGGTCCTGTGTGCCCTGGCTGGCTGCCAGCCTTGTGCACCAGGGGTGCCACGTGTTTCCAGGCCAGGGTGGGAGGCGTTCAGGACCTGCCTGGTGCCCCTCCAGGCACCGTGCACTCACCCTTCCCCACCCCGCTGCCCACCGGGTGCGTGAAGCCTCGCCCTCACACTGCCCAGCTCGGCCTGCGCTTCTGCGGGGTACTGTGCCAGCACTCTCAGGGCTTCTGCAGAGGGAGGACTGTGCCCAGCGCCCATTGGGCTGCCTGGCCATGGTGGCACATAAGAGCCATGCCTGAGCGCAGACCTATGTCATCTAAAAGCTGCTGCTGGGTAAAGGAGAGGGCGGCCTTCACTGTACCCCATCCTCGGGCTGTGGCAGCGGAAGGAGCCGCTCGGGACGCTGGTGCCGCGGGATGGGTTTTCTTTGGCGCGGTCAGCACTGTGTTTCTGCGTCCACCTGGAATCTACTGGGGAAGCCACATAGGTAGAGCGGCGAGACCACTGCGCCCTGCTTCTGTGCAGCAGAGACCGGCGGCAGCGGGCAGGTGCCACGTGAGCCGCAGGGGCACAGGTCCTACTCTGCCTGTTAGAGCCCACGGCTGGCAGGTGCCACGTAAGCTGCAGGGGCACAGGTCCTACTCTGCCTGTTAGAGCCCACGGCTGGCAGGTGCCACGTAAGCCGCAGGGGCACAGGTCCTACTCTGCCTGTTAGAGCCCACTGTTCACACGTGGCTCGGGAGCTCACATCCAGGACAACAGAAAAATGAAAAGCGAAAAATAATGTATGAGGGGCAGGAAAGTATCCTTAGGACACGTCACAGGCCCCGAAAATTTTTGCTGAATGAACACAGAGAAAGAGACAGGAAGGGAAAGAAGGCAGAGAAAAGATGGAAGGATAGGTTACAAGTTGAGGGGTGAGGAGAGTGCACAACACGTGTCCATGCTGTGTTCTGCTACCTGACCTTTGCTGAGTACCATCTCGTCCTGGACCCTAAATTCTTTGCCTGTTTTACATTTAATTCTCACACCAACCCCTGGACGCGAGTGCCATGCATGACCCCACTTTACAGTAGAAGACAAAGGGATGGTGACCTGGTGGCACTCTTCAGGGGGTGGGGGTCTGGGCAGTGTGGCCTCTGCTGGTCGCTGCAGAATTCCCACTGACAGGAAAGCAGCTGCACGCTTGTCCTCAGGTGGTGGTCAGCAGGCCACTTCAGAGAGGCCGGAGGAGGCTGCATCGGGTCTGAGGCCGGCCCTGACCCCAGTTCCAGGCCTTGCACCCAGCATGAGAGCTGATTTGCAGCCACCCCATGTGCCAGCCGTCAGGCCTGGCCAGCATGCCTGGTGCCAGCCGAATCCTGATGTTTGGAAAAGCTGGCAGTGCACACGTAGGAGCCCCTCCCCCAAGCGCACACCGCCCAGAGGAAAGTTTCCTGCACTGTCATTTGGAAGCCGTGGTGTGATTTTCCTCCAGGGTCACACTCCGAGCCTGAATTGCTTTGCTAGGAATAAGCAGATCTCACTTGAGCTGTGGGTGAGACTTTTTAGGGTGATTTTCCCTGTACAAAGGAAGAAGGGTTTGTTTTGTTTTCTTTTGTTTTTGGCGGAAACGGGGATTGAACTCGGGCCCTTGCGCTTGCCAGGTAATAGAAGGCTCTAGAGAGCAATGAGAGAGGTGACTGCTGCATCGGAGCCTTGGTCACAGTAACAGCCGCTCCTCCTTGCCGTCTCGGTCCTGCTGTGATGTGACTCTGATTTCATGCCTTTGAAGGGTGGCGAATGCTACAAAGATCTCTTTGTACGAGACCCCGACAGGCTGGAAATTTTTTGGAAACTTGATGGACGCCAGCAAACTGTCCCTGTGTGGAGAGGAGAGCTTCGGGACCGGTAAGGCGTGCCCCGGGCTGGACTCCCTTTCCCTCAAGGGCCACCTCCAGCGAAAGTGGAGATGGCTGAGGTGGCTCCGAAATAGCAGCAGCTGCCTCCTCCTAAATCAAAACACTGTTTATTTATAACAGTGCTGGTGATGCGCACACTTTGGAGAGCCAGCACATCTAGCCAGGGGGACTCGTTTTGCTTTCTGAGGCTGACCAGCCTGAGGAGACAGGAAGTGCGGGCCTCCCCGGCAGGAGAGCCGCTCAGCTGGTGGGGCTCAAACAGAGCGATGAACATGTTTCTTTCCTCATTTCTGGGAAGCTAGATGGAGGCGTGAGGCAGGTTTTTGTTTTTTATTTGAGGGGAGATTTCAGCACAGCGTTCAGTCTTTTGCTTCCAGCGCCCTCCTTCTCCAGAGCAGTGGGTTTTAGTTGTGCAAATGAAGGAGCTGTTAGCATAGAACCACGTTGGTGGGTGACCGAGAAATTAAATACCACTCGGCATGCGTGCGTGGGGGTGCGCGAGGGAACCGTGGGCGGGGCGGGCAAGGCATGCTCGGGGGTACTCCAGGCATTAACCGATGTGACCCTGCGCCTCCTCCACATCCTCGCCGCCCCGTCGTCCTGCCTGCCTTAATCTCTGGCCTAGGTTTTGTGTGTGTGTGTGTGGAACTGAGGATTGAACTCAGGTGCTTGTGCCTACCAGGCAAGCGCTTATTCTACTGAGCTATCTCCCTGACCCTCTCGCCTAGTATTATTATTACTTATTTTTGTATTATTGTGGATTGGACCCAGGATCTTCACACTGAACTACAACACTAGCCAAATTTTTTTTAATGCTTTTTTTATTTTTTACTTTGAGACAGGCTCTTGTTAAGTCACTGAGTTGTCTAGGCCAGGCTTGAATTTGCAGTCCTGCTGCCTCAGCCTCTCTTAGTGCTGGCCCGGTTGGCATGTGCCACCACACCCAGCAGTTTACAAGCGTCTGTTTAGGCCCATGGCCCTGTGCCGTGTGCTGGCCTTCGTGCAGACTGCAAGGGACTTATGCCGCTGTGTCTTCTGTTCGCTCATCCAAACATCTTTTTTTTATGTATTTGGAACAGGGTCTCACTATGCAGCTCAGACTCTATGTGATCTTCCTACTTTTAGCCTCCCCAATGCTGGGAATACAGGCGCGCCACCACGCCTGGTCTCAGTGGCTGGCTCAGTGCACCCGGGGGTGGGGCTGGGTAGCGTGTGGTGCTGGAGATTGAACCAACGTCCTCAAAAAAAGGAACTGACATTCTTGGTTCAGTCCCCCAGGCAGATGAAGACAAAACCCAGCATTCTCTCGGCCTAGCAGCCAAGTTGCAGTCCGGACCGTGTTAAACAGAACACAGTTTGCGTGTTTTTCCTTGCCTAGCAGTCCAGGTGAGGGCAAGCTGGCAGCTTGGAGGCGTCGCCTGTTGATACGGGGGTGGCGGCACTGGCTGATTCACGGACTTCCTAGACGTGGACGACAGTGGGCGAGGTGCGTTAGGGGTGCCCACTGTCCACCAGCAACACAGATGGCCTCCCAGAGTTCTAGACCTTTAATCAGAGCCCAGAGACCCCACTCAGACGTTGTAGCTCATGACGTGGGGGGGTGCCGCACTGCTGTGTGACACTACGTAAGTGCCCAGGGAACCTGCAGGGGTCTTCTCAGAAAACCCCCCATTTTGATCCTGCCCAGGTGGTCACTGTCCATTTTCATGGGTAAAGAAAGATGCCTTGGGAGCGAGGTGCCGAGGTCAAGCCACCGGCTTCCTGTCTGCGGGCCTGTGTCAGTGCTGAGCCCACTGGAAGAAGACTCTAGAAGCAGCTTTCCTGGTGGTGGGTGTGTGGAGGGGTGCTACCTCCATCAGCGAGTTCTGGTGTCAGCAAAGATGGCGAGACTGGCACTGTACCGCTGTGTGCTGGTTATCTACAGTGCCTTCGCCATGAAAGGGCCGTTCTGGAAGGAACCCTGGTAGCATGGCTTTACCCCCAAAGAGCTGTCCACTGCGTCTGTCCCTCTATTAGTTGTTTGTACATGCAGGGACATCTAGGCCTGGAGACCCACACGGGAAGCATTGGGGAGTAGGGCCTGGAGACAGGTCCTCGCAGCGGCCTGCTGGTCCCCTCGGGTCCTGCCGGACCTCAGCGTCCAGGCCGTCCGGCCCTGCTTCCCCTGGCCATCCTTCGCTTCATGTCACTGTCAGCCCAGTGGCTTGCAGACACTTCCAGGGTCACCGCCGCTCCTCTCAGAAGGTCGCGTCCTGAACCGACCCTGACCTCCCAGACAGGCTGGCCGGAGGAGCAGCGCGACCAGAGTTTCCAGAGACCAGAGTGCCACGCTTTCTTTCCGGTGACATCAGCTTTTAGGGTGCTTTTATTCTTTTTAGCCCGTATCAGGTTGTGGATTTAATCGACTCTTGATGTTTTTACCTATGACGTTTATCAGGAAAATTCCTGTTATGTTTGTGGGACTGATTTCTTACAGTGAAAGTGGCAGATTTTAAACTGCTCCTTGTCCAAGTCCGTTAACCCACTGAGCAAGTAACTAGAGCCTGCCGCGGCTGTATGTACCCTTCGTAACTTTTATATCCGAAAGAGACTGTGTCATGAGACCAGGGGACAAGTTCTCCCTTTCCCTTTGGAAAAAAGAGAATCCATTTATTCGAGGTAAACCGATTGCTAAGCGTAGCGAGCGTGGTGGCACTCTGGGGGGCTCAGGCGGGAGGATCACACATTCAAGCTCAGCCTGGACAATGTAGCAACTCAGTAGGACTGTGTCTCAAAATTAAAAAAGAAAAAACCACTGGTAAAATTATGTGTCCAGGCTGCCTGGCTGTGGGCCTCCAGGGCTGTGACTGCGTGTGGCGGTCACCCTGCTCGACTGCACCCAGTTCCTTCCTCGCAGGGGTGTCGGTGCCCCCCCCCCTCCGCCCGGTGGGGAGCATTGCCAGCTATTCTTCACAAGCTTCTCCGGGTGAGTGGGAAGGACCCAGAGTTTGGAATGCCTGAATCCTGTAGTCTCGGGGCCGGTACCATACCTGCCAGGGGAGGCAGAGATACCTCTGGGAAAGCTCCCCGGCTTCTGGAGTGGGCCTCGCCCCGCTCCCTGGCTCTGTGCGCACCGCAGCCCGTGCTTCACGGAGCTCACCATGGCTGAGGCTTTGTAATGACTCGGGATGATTTGCCTCTCATCTGCCGGCTCCCCAGGACGGAGCTGCTGCCGCTCTCGCCGCCATTGTGTCCCAAGAGCGTCCCCTCGAGCCCAGTGTGGGGCATGCTCAGGAAATGCAGGGAGGCTGAGTGACAGAGCACACGCTTTCCAGGCACCTTCCGTCTGGACACACAGGCTCCTGCTGCTGAGGGAAAGAGCCTCAAAGTCACTTGGTGTGGTTTCCCGCCCGGGACCCATCCCTGTATGTCTGTGGAGGACCTCTGAGCCAGGCCATACGGCCCTGCCATTTGGGGCGGATCTCACAGGCCACACGGCCTTCCTCCCAGCTATGGACAGTGACACGCGTGTTCACAGAGGCAGAGGGGGCTTGTGGGGAAGCTGAACGTGATGAGTGATCTGGAATGCCACTATACGTGCAGCCCTTCTTCGGGAAATGGGGGCCTTGGAGGAGTGGGGCAGCCCTGCCGAGATGAGCTTGCTGCCCGGTGTGCGGCACTTGGAGGCGATGCGGCCTGTGTGCGGGCACACGTGCCATCTCTGAGGCGTGAGTGTGTCATCCGCAGTGGTGGCTGGAGGAATGGATTGCTGGTGCTCTGCCGATGTCTTTGTGTTGGCTTCCCAGGGCGGGCCCCACACCGCCTTCCCAGGGAGGCCCCCTGCTGCCTTCTTGGGGCGGCCCCCCGTCTGCACCACCTTCCCGGGGAGAGCCATCTTGTCTTCCCCTCTTGGCGCCAAGCCATTCCTCCAGTGCCTCTCACCCTGCTGTGGCCTCGAGGCTGGGTCTGCCTCAGGAGACGTCTCCTTGGAGGGCTGTGCTATTTTCTGCCTGGGCCAGGAAGTCTGACCCTGGCGAGAAAGCGCGGGTGGGAGAGGTTAGCAGGTGATGTTCCGGTGCCTGTGAGCGCTACACCCGGCCGCCCACCCTGCACCTGGGGTGCGAGGGTCAGATTTTCTGTCTGATTCTCTGCCCCTCCTGGTTTTCAGAGCCGTACACTATGCTTCTCTCTCTGCAGGGGACACAGCGCCCCAAGTCTGCAGACCCCCCCAGGCAGGAGGCCCCAGTCGAACTAGGCCTGGGCCCTGATTAGAGCCAACTCAGCTGATCCTTGCGCTGTCTCCCATCTGTGAGGTGGGGGTGGATCTTGCCCTCTGCTGGCCGGGTTCCCATGCGTTGGGCGTGAGTGACTGGTAGGGCACAGTTCCTCTTCCCTCCTGCCAGGGTACCTGGCAGAAGGGAAGTTGTGCCACAAGGGAGCTGGGTGCAGAGCCCAGGGTTCTCAAGCTAGGGCTAGATGGCCTGGGCAGTGGAGGGCAGAGAGCAATGGCCAGCCTGGGGCGGCCCTCTCTGAAGGCTGTCTCAGGGTGGTGCCCCCTGGGGTGAGGCACAGGCCTAGGGTGTGGAGAGCAGAGAGACTGAGGAAGGTGTCCCAGGCAGGGCTGAGTCAAAGTGGGCCCAGACACCGTCAGCCAGTGAGTGGGATCTGGGGGTTCAGAAGTGTGGAGGAGGGATGGAGAGAGGACAGGCAGCCCCTGGCAGCCCCATGGACGGGCGAGGCCCAGGCCACTCCTGCAGTGCTGCTTGCAACCTAATCCCTGAGCTGGTAGCTCCTGGCTCGCCACACAGGGCTTGGCATTTGTCTTGGCTGGGGCTGGGAGCATGCCCCAGCTGAGCCGGGGTTGTAGGATCACGAGGTGCTGATCGGGCTGAAGTGGAGGGACAGGTGTGTGGACATGCTGAGGGGGCAGGATCCCTGGCGCCCACGGGCTCTGAGCCCGGACAGCAGCACAGAGCCCGCAGCCGAGTCCACGCTGCCTTTGCACCAAGGGGGAGCCAGCCTGGCTGGTGCGTTTGCCCTAAAAATCAAAACATAGTGATGGCAGTTAATGTGTGCTCACCATAGGAATTCGAGAAAGGAAAAACTGTTCCCACTGCCAGGAGGAGGCGTGGGCTTGTTTTCTTCCTTAAGGTGCACAAGGTACATTATTTTGGAAAGATTAATAAGGTCAGTAGAAAATACACTGCTTTTCCTAAAACACTTAAATTTGTTTCTTTATTCAGTTGTGTGTGTTGGAGCTCTTATGGCGGAGCCCGTCTTGTCCACTGGCCACTCTTTAGTTGAGTAGCATATCAGGGTACGTGCAGAGATGCACAGGGAGCAGCGGAAGCCGAGGAAGTGAGAGTGAGCAGGGCCTTGTGAACAGGGAGCAGAGACATTCCCGGCACCGAGTCTTCACCGAGGAGAGGTCTGTGTTCTCTGAGGTTGGCAGTGGTTGCCCTGGAAATCTGGGTGGGAGTCAGTGTCCCCGGCTGCAGTGTCGCCTTTAGAGAAGTCTCAGTGCCACAAGCACCTCCGGTCCTGGGCCGTGACCTGGGCGTGGACAGCTCAGCTCCTGCCTGTGCCGTGACGTGGGCGTGGCAGCTCAGCTCCTGCCCTCCAGCCGCTGGCTCATCAGGCGGTCCCCGAGGCCTGCGATGGACTCCTAAGTTAGTCTGGGAAGCCAGTTGCTTGTTCTGAAGCCTGCCCAGTGCGCCTCAGCATGGTCTGTGTCTCTCACGACCTCTCCTGGTTGGCTCTGCTCACTGCCTGTGGCTCTCTTTGGCAGACACTTCCCGCTCCTGGCGCCTCCTGAGCTCTCCACTGGGCCTTCAGCTTCACTCTCACAGCTTCACACACTGCTCTCGGGGTGTGCCGCCCGGCCTCCCCAGGCTTTCTCTGGAAGCTGGGTAGGAGCCTTCTTGACCCTACAACTGTTGCATTTTGCCTGAAAAACCAGCACCATGAGGATGGTGCTGAGGTCGGGCTCTGACTTGGCTATGACTGAAGTAGCCTGTGCCTGGATGGCTGAGGGCTGTGAGGTGAATCTCAGGACACTAACTCCCTAGGTGGCCCTTCTTAAAGAAGAGGCCCAGGAACTCACTTCTCAAGTGAAAGCATCGTAGTTTACACCCTTGAACCTGCAAAAGTGGGGTGGGGGGTATGTCTAGATGATTCCTGATGCAAACTACTTGGCTTCTTTTGATTGCTAATCTTTTTAGTTTCCAAGGTCTCCTTGGCCCCAACTTCACAAGTGCTTACTTTCCAGCCACCAGCAAAATTTTTCAAAATAGGCAACCCTGCTTCTTGGATCTCCTAAACTGTAAATCTGCCAGCAGTGCTGTAAACTGTACTGTAAAACTGTAAAAGCAGCCAGCAGTACCCGTGTCACAGCCTGACTGTTAGGTTTCCTTGATATTTCCTCTGGTAGATTAATCAGTCTGTCATCCTTAACCTTAGTCTCCTGCAAAGTTTCAGGACATGAACAAAATGTAGACGTATTTTTTGCCAAAACATAACACACATGCATAGCTTCGAATCCAACCTCCGGTGGAGTCTTTGTTCTGACTGAAACCTCCTGAGCATGCCCTTTCCTGTCAGCATTCTGGTGTTCTGAGCTCTGACCGGAATCGCCATCAGACTCAGTTTACGGCACCCTGTAATTTCCTTAGTCAACATCGCCAACCTTTTGAACTCCTCCTACCAGTAAGTTCCCAGGGATTCTGAACCATACGCTCAGGTATAGTCACAGTAACAGCCCTACTCCTGGTACCATTTCTTTCTTTCTTTCTTTCTTTTTTTTTTTGTGGTACTGGGGATTGAACTCAGGACTTTGCACTTGCCAGGCAAATGCTTATTCTACTGCGCTGTCTCCCCAGCCCATTTCCTCATTTCTTTCTTTCTTTCAAAAAAAAAAACCAACTTATTTTTTTATTTGGTACATGGTCTCACGATGCAGCTCAGACTCGTAGTGATCCTCCTGTCCCAGCCTCCTCAGTCATGAGATTACAGGCGTGTGTCACCATGTTTGGTTGGTGCGCAGGGTTTCAGGGCCAGCATAGCATGTGGTACCAGGGTACTGAGGATTGAACCCGGATCCTTGTGCTTGCCAGGCAGGTGCTTAGACCACCAGTCTATCTCCCCAGCCCCTCCTGGTACTACCATTTTTCAGTCACTTTCCCCTCCCTGGGATATAATACCTGATGCCTGAATTCCTTTGGTGCATGGTATCGGTCCTTGGCTGGCAGGTGGAAGGCAGAAGCAGCCTGGTGGGAAAGCCTGACAAAGGAAAGGGTGCCCAACCATGGCAGTCAAGAAGCAGAGAAAGAAGGAAGAGCCAGGGAAGGAATAAACCTTGCTAGGTCACAGCCCAGGGGCCCCCACTTTTGACCAAGCCCCACCCCCTGCAGCACATTCAGCACTGTGTCCCCATAACCCACTCATCTTCTAGTCAGCAACCTCCGAACACATCAGCGTTTTGGGAGACATTGTAGAGCTGACCCATAACAGGGAGCAAAGAGAAAGGGGCTGGCAAGCATGGTGGGAGAAGTATGGCAAGGAAGGAAGCTAAAAAATTTAAAGTAAGAAAAGAATTCCAGTGGGGCACAGACAAAGGATTCCAGTCTGTACACAGCTGCTGAGAGGCTACAGCATATTGAGGAGGTGGCAGAAGTCTGCTCTACAGGATGAACTGTGGCCAAAACATACCAACCAGCTTTTGTTCTTTACAATAACAGTAAAGGCCAATAAAAATCTATAGCTAATGAAACTGAGTAAACATTTCCAAGATGTATTACATATAGCACTAAAAATAGCCCTACTCTCTGTGGTTTTACCAGGGTCTAGTTTTAAGGCCTGTTAATTCTAAGAAGTGTATCACATGGTAGAGAAAAATGTGTGAAATAAAAATTGTATATTCTTCTGAATCAATAAGAGAAGATGTCAGGGCAGCTGCCCTGATGACTTGGCCTGTCCGTGCGTGCAGTCCGTTACCTGCCGCATCCCGCCAGTGGCACCAGTGCTCAGACGCTGCTGCGAGGTGAATAGTGGTGCCGCTGAGAATGGCGCGGCGCAGAGAGGTCCTATGCAGAGACAGAAACTCGCTCCTGCCTGCCTCCCCGAGGACGTTTCAGCTGGGTATGAAAGGATGAAGGGTGAAAAGAGGCCGCACGCCGGCTGTGTGGCCGGCATCGTGCTGGGTGCACTGGCAGTGCCGAGAAGAGCGAGCCGGTGGGAGGTCAGGTCTGCAGCCTCCAACTGTAGAGTCCTCTCCAGAAGCCAGCAAACAGCCCGAGACAGTCTGCTTTCTGTTTTGTTTTCGAAGAAGTTTAAAAGCTGAGAATGAGAGTCCTGGCCCCTGTCAGGCAGAAGTGGCAATTCATTTTGGTAAAAGTCTTAGTAAGAGAAGCTCTGCTCTGGGCCACTGTGTCACAGTGTCTGTCGCAGGCTGGTGCTTGCCGTTGGCTCGAGCCATCCTCCTCAGGGCTCGCTGTGCCCACAGGTTCTGATCACATCCGGGAGAAAGACGGGCTGTGGGCCGTCCTCGCCTGGCTGTCCATCCTGGCTGCCCGCAAGCAGAGCGTGGAGGACATCCTCAAGGATCACTGGCAGAAGTACGGCCGCAACTTCTTCACCAGGTGGGTGAGGTGCCCGTCCTGCCTGGTGGGGGCAGGCTTCTGCGCCATTCACCCAGGGCACGGGCAGAGCCAGCTTTCCTGTCAGCCATGAAAACCCAGACCAGAGGTCTCCCTGGTGTTGCCAAGGGAATCAACACTTCGGCAGCTTGGCATTCCCACTGGTGGATGTGACGAAGCATTGGGTTCGAATTCAAGCAAACGGCTTTGAATTTTATTTCTGCGTCGTGCTAAATTGGCAAATAACTTGACCTCCCTGTGCCCAGTTTTTCTTGCCTGAGAATAGCGGGCCAGCATTGGATGGAATGAAGGACGTGGGCTAGAAAGTGCTTTGTGAGCCCTGGAGCTCTGAAACATAAAAAGTAAAAACAGCCATCCCTCAGCCATTGCTGCTGGGGTTCTTTTAAAAGATTATTGATTTAGTTGGTACAGGGTCTTGCTATGCAGCTCGGACTTGTAGTGATCTTCCTGTCTTAGCCTCCTCCAGTGCTGGGATTACAGGTGTGCTCCACCATGCCTGGTTTCGGTGGCTGACGTGGCATGCAGTACCAGGGATCGAACCTGGGTCTTTGCACATGCCAGGCAGTCGCTTAGACCGCTGAGCTATCTCCCCAGCTAGCTATTGCCCCTTGACTAGTTTTTGATTGTTGTTATGGTCCTTGGAATAGAGCCCAGGGCTTTGGTGCTGAGCACCATCCCCAGTCTTTTTTAAATTTAATTTAATCTTTTATTTTAAGACAAATTCTCACTAAGCTGCTCAGGCTGGGCTCAAACTTGGGTTCCCCCTGCTCACAGCTTCCAGGTGCTGGGATTTAGAGAATTAAAAACTGGCTCCCATAATTGATAATCCGCCATAGACAGTAACCCCCTGCCCTGCTAAGGGAGCCCTGGAGACCAGGACTCGGAGGAGACGTCATGGTCCCCATGTGGTCCACAGGGCTGTTCAGTCAGGGTGACCTCAGGGCCCCTTGGACCAGAGTCCCTGCCACGGGAGGGAGGGAGGGAGGGCAGCATCTCGGGCCGGCCCTAGGTGGGGACAGGGCAGTGCTGCCTCCCCTCAGCCAGGGCCACCCTTGCGACTTCTTCTAGGTATGACTACGAGGAGGTGGAGGCAGAGGCCGCCGGCAAGATGATGAAGGACCTGGAGGCGCTGATGCTGGACCGCGCCTTCGTGGGGAAGCAGTTCTCGGCCAATGACAAGGTCTACACAGTGGAGAAGGCGGACAACTTCGAGTACAGTGACCCGGTGGATGGGAGCGTTTCCAAGAACCAGGTGGGAACAGGCGCAGGGAAAGGCCCCAGGCACCAGTGCCTGAGACAGGTGCAGCCTCTGCAGCCCTTGCCTGAAGCTGCTCGCGGGACTCACCTGCACACATGGGCCCTGGCTTGGCGCCCGCTTTCAGGGTCCTTGGCCCACACACCAGGCACTTGCGATGCCTTGGAGTCATTCCAAGTTGTCTCCTGGATTGTGAGTGCGCAAGGAGCCCGGAATCTAGGAAGGTGAATGTGTGGCTACAGTGTTGCTGTTCTCCTCCAGAGACTGCCCAGAGGGACAGCACACTTGTCTTTCACATGCTTAGATTTTGAATAAGAATTTAAGGCAGTCCTTAGCTGGGTGTGATGGCGCCCGCCTGTAAGCCCAGCTCTTGGAAGGCTGAGGCAGGTGGGTCCCTGCGAGCTGGTCAGCCTGGGTCACAAAGTTCAAGACCAGTCTGAACTACATAGTAAGACTCTGGAAAAAAGGCTGCTCTGGACTTAGAAACGTTAACTGTTCTTACTGCAACCACTGGGGCCACCGTGTGCTGCGTGTGGGGCGCCACCCTTGGGCCCTGGCCTGACACCGCGCCGAGATGGCCCGGCTCCTGTGCTGCGTGCCGTGTCCCATGGTGCCAGGCTGGTCAGCTGATTTTGCCCCTGTCACAGAATGGGCTCAGCTCCACTGGGAATTGGAAGAGGCAGTGGAGTGGGCAGCTGGGCACCCCTAGGCCCCTCTGATGCCCAGGCATCGGCAGGTGCCTGCTAGACTTCTGCGGCTCTGTGTCCCCATCCTGCCTGCAGCCCTCCTGAGTTAGGGTCCCACCTGCACCTGGCTTTCATTCTGAGCTTCAAACAGGGCTGGCAGCCAGGGTCCCAGGAAGGGGCAGAGGTGTCCCGAGGCCTGGTCTCCCTCCCATCCCAGGTGAGCTGCACCCGCTGTCCACAGCAGACAGTGAGGTGTGGTGGCCATGTGGCCAGCACAGGAGCTGCCAGCTCCCTGTCCAGCACGCATGGTGACCCTCTGCTTGTCTCCCCTAGGGCCTGCGGCTCCTCTTTGCAGATGGCTCCCGAGTCATCTTCCGGCTCAGCGGCACCGGGAGTGCAGGGGCCACCATCCGCCTGTACATTGACAGCTATGAGAAGGACCCCGCCAAGATCAACCAGGACCCCCAGGTGACACTGCACCCTACCCTGGCCAGCCTCCTCTGCCCCTTTCAGCACCTCAGAGCGGCGACTGTAGATCCTGGCAGGTGTCACCATCCATCCTCAGCAAGCCCAGCCCAGCCCCTTGACTGGCTGCGTGCACCTTGATTCTCAGATGGGGGAGATGTCCTGGCACATCCCAGCACAGATAGGGAAACTGAGGCACAGGAGGTTGAGCGGAGTGTGTGGACTCGCGTGCGAGTGAGCAGTAGAGTGGGCCACTGGCCTGCTGTCCTCCTGTCAGGGTCTCGGGCCGCTGCTCGGTGGCTCCTCCCTGGGGAGCGTGGCTTTTCCCTGTAGGTGGGAAACAGACCCGCCGTGGGGTCCAGCGGGGCCCATCAAGTAATCACCAGAGGGACTGTGTCATCAGCCCGAGACACCTGTGCCCACACTCCTGGTGGCACCCTCTGGATAAGGAAGATAGGGCACAACCTCGGTGAGCGTCACAGGCGTGGTGAATGTATGTAAGGAACAGTCAGCCAGCTCAGAGAAGGGAGTGCACCTTAGCAAGTAAGAACGTCCTGCCGCTGTGTAACAGGGCAGCGTGGACACTAGGTGGGACACACGAGGCCTGAGGTCTGTCATGTGCACATGGAAGCTATGGAAACAAAGGGACAGAGGCCGGCTGTGGCCACGCAGAGCACAGTGCCATGTGGTGGCAGCTGCTCTCACCCTGAGTCCCACCCTTCCTGCGAGCCGGTTCTCTGTGTGCGTAGGTTTTATACCTTCGATAGAAAGCTTTTATTAAAAATCAAACCTGACCACATGGCCATATGTACTTTTGCACAAGGCCCTTTTTTCTTCCAACACCTACTTAAAGTCCTATAAAATTCATTTGGTGGGCTCGAGCCTGGGTGTGTGGCCAGGGAGGTCACTTGCGGTCCTGCCCCTCCATTTCGAGCTGTGCCTCCCTGGCAGCTGTCTTGTTCTCAGGAGTCTTGGGGTCTTGTTTCCAAAAAAGCAGGATAGTGAGGTGATGGGACTGTAGGGCTTGAGGGAGATGACCTCGTGCCCAGCTAGTGAGGAAAGAGCAGCTCTTAGAATTGTACAGTAACAAAGCAAAAAAACCTCTCGTAAAATCTGTCACCTCACCTGCTTTCAGACACCACTTAGCAGTGCTGTGCACAGTTACACCAAACCTCTAGGACTTGTCATTTTGTAAGGTGAAAACTTGAAGACAGGCGTGGTGGTCCCTGCCTATAATTCCAGCAATTTGAGAGGCTGAGGCAGGAGGATCCGGAGGCCAAGGCCAGCTTGGGCAGCATTGCAGGGCCCCAGAACTTGGCAAACCCTTGAGAAACAGAACAAAGCCAAAACTTGACACCCCTGAACAGCACGCCTGGAGTCCCCTGCTCAGCCCCGCCAGCTGTCATTCCACTTTGCACGCCTGTGAGCTTGGCCACCAGTTCTCCCTCTACACGGAGGCAGAGGGTGCTGTCTGTGCACGCCTCCCCACAGCAGGGACTCCCAGCCTTATGGGCACTGTGCCTGGGGGCGGCAGCGGGAGGAAGCCCAGGACCATGTCACTCTGTTTCCACTCATAAGGCAAAAGCCTGGAGCACGTGTTCCCAGGGGGCTGGTGTACCTAGAGCATCCTCGTTCTCTGCACTCCCCCTCCTCCCGCCATTGGCAAAAGACAAGAGAACAAGCTTCTCTTTAAGCAGCCCCGCTCTCCCCTTGATGGGCTGAGATTACGTTTCCGCGATCTCTCCCCGTGAGCAATACATGGGGGACACAGACACCAGGCCCTGCAGGTGGAGTGACAGCCGCTGATGTCCTCTCGTGTCCCTGCAGGTCATGCTGGCCCCGCTGATCGCCATCGCGCTGAAGGTGTCCCAGTTGCAGGAGAGGACAGGCCGCTCAGCACCCACAGTCATCACCTAGGTGTGCGGCCACCACCCACCCTGCAGGGCTCAGAGGCGACTGCATTTCCCTGGGCTCCTTAGCAAAAGGAGAAAGATTTGGACCATCTGAAGAGAAGCCAGAGCCCCCTCGGGCTCCCGAGGCCCGAATTCTCCCTGCCCCTGCTGTTGGTGTCCATCGGCCAGGTGCTGTGTGCTCCACAGTGTCAGTGGGAGGTGGGTGGCAGCTGCAGGTGCCCACGGTGGCCTGCTGCCCAAGATGTACTCGCCAGGCAGAGGGTGCAGTGTCTGGTGCCTTTCCCCTCGGTTTTCTGATTTCTGCCTTGTTTCCACGCGGCCCCACTCACACAGGTGTCAGGGAATAAAGTAGAGAAGCTGTGTGACTTCTTCCCATTCTGTCCTTAACCTCAGGGGCCACTTTGATTTGAGGGAACCAGGGAGGCAGCTTTTGTTCGCTTGTCTTGATTCCAGTGTCCCCGCTGGATCAGGAGATGGCTGTGTGGGGGAGGGCCAGGCTTTCCTGAGCTGCAGGGACATGGGTGACTTGTTGGGAGACATCACTGAGCAGGACTACGTTGTCCCCGATAGGATTGGAGCAGAGGTGCGGGAGCCTCTGGCCCAGAATCCAAGTGCTGGCCTCTCACTCCTCTCTGGATGCTCGGATCCCACACGCACAAGTGTGGCCGGGAGCTCAGAGCGCAGGGTTGGGAGCCCCGGGAGTGATCCCACCCAAGACCTAGGGGCCTTTGGAAGATGGGGAGGGCAGCAGCTCCGGGCTCTGTGGGGAGCCCCAGGTGAAGGACCTTCGAGGGACAGCAGCGTTAGGATACTGTGGTCCTCGCACTCACAGGGCTGTCAAGGCCCGCATGGCCCCACCACTCCCTTTGCTGAATGCTACTGCGGATGGGCCGGAGCTCTCCAGACCTGACTGGAGAGGGTAGTGGCCGGGCCAGCTGCCGCCCACCTATGGCTCAGCATTCCCAGCTATGGCAACACTGGTCCCCCTGAGAACCCTGTGTCACAGGAGACTGACCCCTCACCCATCCCACGAGCTCCCAGCCCCTTCTGGGGACACTGCTCCTGGGACCCCACACTGGGTGGGGTGGGAGGCAGAAGTCTGCACGACAGGGTGCTGTGAGCCCAAAGAAGGGGACTCCATGGACAGACAGTTCAGGGTGGGCAGGGCAAGCGCTGGTGGCATCCATGGGGTCCTCACAGGGAGAAGAGCTGTGGCATCTGCCCGGGGCGCTCGTGGGAGCTGCTGTGTGTCCTGGTCTCCCCTTTGAAACTGGGCTGTTTCCAGGAGTCTCAAGGGCAGGACATATCCAGGACTTTTTAGAATTACCAGCTGGGGATCTCAAGGTCTTGTAAGGGGGAAGAATTTTAACCCAGACCTATGCAAGTACCCTCCTCTCCACCAGGGGTGGGGCCTAGGCACCTGTCACCTCTCCATCCCTGCTCCTATTCATTCAGCCCCAGGCCCGTCCCTCTGCCTTACCACTACTGCACCCCAAGGCTGCTGCCACCTGGGGTCGGGAGAACTCTCCCAGGAGCTGGGCTCCCACCGTCCACCACACCCTGAATTTCCCTGTTTCCTCCTAGTCTTTGGAAAGTTCTCCGACTTTTTTTCATTTGAAGAGCCTTGCTGTGGTTTATTGAACATTTCTGGGCGACGCTCAGGTCGCTGGGAGAGGTCTCGACTTAGTTTGCTAGAATCTAAAGCCCTTTCTGTTTCTATTCCAGGCTCACCAACCCCAGTGCCATCTCTACAAAAAAGTAAATCTTACTTTGTTTTCACTTGCATAGAACTCTTTAGTGGTTTCTAGGAGCTTTCTACTCATGATGGCCTGTTTTGTAAATCCCACAAACTCGCATTTTTCTTCTATGATAATCAGCGCCCCCTTTGTGGGGGCGCTCCCCATACTTCTTAGGACCCTGAGAACATCAGCCATAGTCCCGCCCTCTCCTTTCCGCCCCTCTTCCGTATTGGAGCTGGAGTGGGAGAAACAAGGCTCACCTTGGGCCAATCACTGGGCTGCGATTCTTGTGGACACGGTGATTGGGCCAATGGTTGAGCATGTGGCCCAACCTGGGCCAATAAGATCCAGCCTCTGATTTTTTTTTTTTTTTTTCCTCCAAATTGGAAGTAGAAGGACAACTTTCTCTTCCTTTCGGATTGTGGGTTGTGAACATGTAGGCCTGGTGAATATCGGTGACTTTTCCAACCAGGTTGATCGAATCCTCAGTGCAAAAAAAGAATGAGGCCAGTAAATAAGAATCAGTCCGTTGAAAAGAAAATCTTAATTTCTTTGTCAGTGCTGGGGGTTGAACCCAGAGCCTCCTGCCTACTAAGCAGGCGTCACAAACATTTTATTTCCAGTGAGACAATTCCTGTTTTCAGTCTTCTCTGCTGGAACGCCGGGCAGCTTCCTGGTGTTGGGGACCATTGTGTCCATCCTTACTCTGCACATTGGCGCAGTGCGTGTGTCCCAGGACATCTGTCACACGACGCACCGGAAACTGGCATCGGGGCTTTGTGAGCTTTTGATTGCCACAGTGTTTTCACAACCACAGAAGGCCTCCCCTTCGCGACCACTGAAGGCCCCCTAGGGAAGCCGACTGAGGTTCTCTGCGCCGGATGTCACCCCGGTCGCAGTGGCTCGCGCTCCCAGGAGGTGGCAGTGTTGCACATTCTCTGGCCGCCAAGGCAGGCCTCGGGCTGGACCTGCCTCTCCAGCCCAAACCAGCGCCAGCCGGGAAGGAGTTCAGTGGTCTCCAGGACGCGCATCCCGACCTGAGGCCGCACTCCTGGAGAGTACATCTGGATCCTGCCTCCGGTCGGGGACCCTGCCTTTCCCGCCTCAGTGGCGCCTCCAGCCACGACTCCTGGGGCTGTGTATGAGAAGCCCAAAACGTAAAGAATTTAAAAACAAAACAGAATAAAAGATATCAGGAAAAGGGAGAGAGATTTTTTTTACAAATGGGAAGGGGACCAACAGGTGGACCGAATGAAGGGGAAGTAGACCGAATGAAGATGGGGTACTTGCACGCTCCAGCTCCGCGAGGAGCACAGTCTCGTGCACCACCACAGGGACTATTCAAAATAAGAATACAGAGGTTCTCCCCACTTGGCACTTCTCCGAGCTGCCTGCCGCGATGGTGTCATCAAGCGCACAGCTCCCGCACAGAGGGCGGGCAGCAGGCCTCCCTCGCAGCCTGGCTGTGCCTGCCTGCGATCCGGGTAACCCTCTGCCCATCTCTCTACAAAGTGGCAGCAAGGTCCCCTGGTCAGACTCCACCAAAATCCTGGAGACCTCTTGGTGTGCACCCAGCACACAGTAGGTACTCAGGAGACGGTTGTTGGCGTCGCGGCGAGGAGGTCTCCTGGGCAGGGTGCTGCTCACAGATGGCTGAGGAACCCCCGCCTCCACTTCCCAAGTGCTATTCCCGGGGAGGTGGGAAAGCGTCCATGGTCACTGGACAGCATCCTGGCAGGAAACCATCCTGCCCGACCCTGAGCTCTGTGCGCCCTGCAGCCTCCGCTGCTGTGCATCTGGGCTGGGGGTGGAAGTGTTTCGGCCCCGCTGCCAGGGCCTCATCTCTGGCTGCAGGAGTTCCATTCCTGCTGCGTCAGAGCCAGTCAGAGACCTTCCTGAGGTTTCAAAGGGTAAGGGGTCTGCAGAAGAGGCTGAGCCAAGCCGGAAGATGGAGTGTAAGGAGGCGGGGCTAATCTCGCTGTCTGTCTGCCACGGGAGGGCTCCACCCAGATCTTCCTCATCCGTTTCCCAGCCCGCTTGGGTTCCATGTAGGAATGTGTGCGCCTTCTCACCACACCTCCGGCCCTTCTCTGAAACAAGAAACTGGAGGAAGAGTAGGACACACACACAAGCTGTGTCACCTCTGCGTCCCTGTAACAGAGGCTTCTGCAGCGTTGACATGAGCGGAGCCGTGAGCCGAATCCCCTGCAAACCTCTGTCCACAGCTACTGGGGAAAAGCACGCTCAGCCTGTTCCCAGGCTGGGAAACAGGTCTGCCCGAGCGAGTGAGCTGGGCAGTGAGGCCTCAATCCGAGCTGTGCCCTCTGACTGCGCTAAGCCATCGTCCGCGGGTCTTCAGGCTGTGGATCTTTTGGACAAGGCCTTTGCATGGAGCCTGAGTCCAGCTAGGAAGGGAATAATGCAGCTCTGGCTCCTCCGGTTAAAATTCTCCTCAGTGCTCCTGCCTGAGAGCGGGGTGAAGTCTAGGCTCCCAGGGGAGCCCTGCTGAGGGTGCTTCACAAAGCCTTCTCCCCTGAAGAAACTTGAGAACTCCGGAGGCTCTGGTTCCCTCTAGGGACACAGCATAGAGGCTGGGAGAGGTCTTCTGGTGAAGGGGGGCAGGGTGGAAGCTAAGCTGGCCCGTGGGGGTCCGTGGCTTCACTGCAAAAACAATAATAGTACTAATCCCTTGAGCTTTGTTGAACCCTGTGTTTCCCCACGCACTGAGGCAGGTATTTCCCAAGGTACATCTAGAAGCACCCCTAGGCGGGGCCCTCAGCAGCCAGCCAGCCTGTGGGAGCTGGGTCCAGTGTGCAGAGCCGGGACCCCAGCCCAGCCCCTCCGGCACCCAGGACCTGCAGTTGAAGGCACCTCCGTCCAGCGCTCAGCTCTCTGCTGCCATGTAAGGTAGGATGGCAGGAGGCCAGTGCACTCGCCCGCAGGCTGGCGACACTCAGTGGGTGCTCCTCAGTGACAGCAGCACCATTCTGCACCCAGATTAGAAGAGCCTTTCCTCCCCTGCGTGGCCCAGCCTACAGCCAGCACTTGGCATGCGAGGGGTAGCAGAACGCCTACCATTTTCCCCATGTCTGCACTGGCGGATCCCAGAACAATCCTAAGGATGGAGGAGAGCCCAGATGCCCTTGGCAGGGTGGCCAGGACAGGTGACTGAAGGCATGGACAGGTTCCTCCCAGGGGGATGAAGGGAGACTGAGGACCCGAGGAGAGAGGAATTTGGTGTTGCCGGGCGCTGGTGGCTGTGCAGGTTCCCGCAGGAGTCATCACTGCCCTAGCCCCCACCCCAGTACTCCACACCACCCTTTCTGGGCTCCTCTTGGCTCACCCACTGCCGCAGCCCCAGACCTGGCTTGGGCTGCACCAGGCCCTACCCACGAAGGGCATTGGGTCACCCCTCTGGTTCTGTTTGCCTGAGCCCTCTCCCGGGCCTGTGCGCAGTCTGCCAAGAGCATCTCCGTGATTGAGTCCTGTGGGGCCTGCAGTTCCGTCTGGGATTTGAGTTCTGGTCTCTCTGAGAGACAGGGATGTTATAGAGACTGGCATTGGCAGGGTGAGGAATGGCCGGGTGTGTGCTGGGGACGGTAGTGGGCGCAGGCACCAAGGTCGCT